ATCAAAGTTGGAGAAAACCAACCATCACCACTAGCACTCACAACCCCTGCTACCACCACAACCGATATCCAAAACTACCACTACCACCGCCTAACAACAACTGCCACTACCAACAGTCACCACTAACAACAATAACAAGAGCCACCACCACCAACCACCACTACTGTCACAACCATCAACCTCCACCACCACTATTACCAACATACAATATCAACAACCACCACTATCAACAACAGCAACTACCACCACAATCAACAACAACAGCCACCACCACCACCAACAACCACCCCACTACCCACTAACAACATCCACCCCACTACCATTACCACCAACAATTCCACTCACGCCGGAGCACACGAAAATGAATCTGGCTGAGAGAGAGAGAGAGAGCGAGAGAGACAAGAGAACGACTTGAGAGATGCTCTGAGACGACCACCATCAACCTTCCTGCCTAATGAAACAACCAGCTCTCCTTTCTTTTCCCCAGCACTAAAACTGACACCATCCCCCGGGGTCCTCACTGACAATAACCCCTGGGAGCCTCACTGACTAACACTCCTTGGAATCCACACTGACAACATCCCCTTTGGTGTTCACTGACATCATCCACTGGAGATTTCACTGATAACCTCCCCTGGGGCTCTGCCCCTTGATTCTCAGAGGCAGGTATAATGCCTCCCCGTGAATATTCTTAATAATAATAATAATAATAATAATAATAATAATAATAATAATAATAATAATAATAATAATAATAATAATAATAATAAAATATTAATAATAATAATAATAATAATAATAATAATAATAATAATAATAATAATAATAATAATAATAATAATAATAATAATAATAATAATAATAATAATAATAATAGCGATCAATCAGCCTGTCTAGTCAACCTGCCTATTTGCCTGTCATTCTGCCTGTCTATCTTATCCTGATCGTCTATCTGACTGCCTATCTACCTGCCTGTTTATCTGCCTGTCTGTCTTCCAGTCTATCTGCCCATCAACCTGTCGCTATACCTGTGTATCAACGTGTCCTTTAGCCTCTCTATTCCTGTCAGCTGATTTGTCAACCTTTCTACACACCTCTTCATCTACTTACCAGCCGGTCTATCTGTCTATCAGCCTATCTACCCGTCTATCATCCTGCATATCAACCCATTAGATTGTCCTATCATCCCATCAAGCTATTCATCAACCTCTGTCAGCTTATTAATCAACCAGTCAATCTGTTCGTCAGTCTATCAGCATGTTAATCAGTCTGTCAGCCTGACAGTCATCACGGCTAAGAAACTTTCTGGGAGTGGGAAAAAAATATCACTCTTCGTTTACGCAAGTTTTGCGTCATACTGTTGAGCGTTGAAGAGACGCAGATTTTCAGTTTAGAACCACTTGTGTTCTGCCAAATGTTGTTTTTTAGGGATAAAACTCGAGGTTCAAGGTTCAAGTATAATAATAATAACAATAATAATAAATAATAATAATAATAATAATAATAATAATAATAATAATAATAATAATAATAATATATAATTATATTATATTATTATTATTATTATTATTATTATTATTATTATTATTAATTATTATTATTATTATTATATTATTATTATTATTATTATTATTAATATAAATAATTATAATAATTAATAATGATAAAATAATAATAATATAATAATATAAATTAATGTTAATAATAATCACAATTAATAATAATAATAATAATAATAATAATAATATGATTGATAACAATAATCACAATAATAATAATATTATTAATAATAATAACAATAATTAATAGTAATAATAATAATAATAATAATAGTAATAATAATAATAATAATAATAATAATAATAATAATAAAAATAATAATAATAATAATAGTAATAATAATAATAATAATAATAATAATAATAATAATAATAATAATAATAATAATAATAATAATAATAATAATAATAATAATAATAAAAGGACATTTTCTCTAAATGAATTACTGACTAATATTTCTTTTATACACGTATTAAACTGTCTTAATGTTTTGTACAGGATTAAGAATATTTTTAGCTAAATATACAGACTAAAATTTTATAATATATACAAAATCGTAACAATAATTTTGAAAGGGGTGGAGGGGTAAGCCAGCGGAAGGTCTCGGTCAGTTGACCAAAAGCTCCAGTGGCGGGTCATCATATAATACTACTACTACTGTTAATAATAATAATAATAATAATAATAATAATAATAATAATAATAATAATTTAATAATAATAATAATAATAATAATAAATAATAATAATAATAATAATAATAATAATAATAATAATAATAATAATAATAATAATAATATATTTTTTCTACAGGTACAAGATACAACTTATACAGACCATAGCTGACATCAAGGGCATATTACTATATAGAAAGCCATTTGTTATGCAGAGCATTTCGGACAAATTAGGTCAGTTTTGTCCCCAGGATGCGGCCCACACCAGCCGACTAACACCCAGGTGCCTATTTACTGACAGGTGAACAGAGACAGCAGGGACCCGTACCAAGCATCGAGCCACGGACCCTAGAAATCGAGCCACGGGACTAAGACCCGCGTCACGACACACTTGTCCTGTTTCCTGACAAATCTTACCTAACCTAATATATTGGGAGAAATATATCTGTGTGGGAGAAATATATCTATGTGGATCGCTTGTAAGGCCTAACATTTTTTTTTTTGGGGGGGCTGGGAGGGGCATAATGTCCTAAATTATTATAATCATTATTATTAGTGAACATTAAAATGGTATAAAATATCGACAGGTTGTTAGGTAAGACACATATGCAACAGTTAGGTATCTTTATTTCGAAACGTTTCGCCTACACAGTAGGCTTCTTCAGTCGAGTACAGAAAAGTTGATAGAAGCAGAAGATACTTGAAGACGATGTAATCAGTCCATCACCCTTAAAGTTTTGAGGTGGTCAGTCCCTCAGTCTGGAGAAGAGCATTGTTCCATAGGGTGATGGACTGATTACATCGTCTTCAAGTCTCTTCTGCTTCTATCAACTTTTCTGTACTCGACTGAAGAAGCCTACTGTGTAGGCGAAACGTTTCGAAATAAAGATACCTAACTGTTGCATATGTGTCTTACCTAACAATATTATTAGTACCTCTTAGAGGTCGATTTGTTTGTATACGAGGGGAAAGAATATTGTCATCTATTGTCCTGTGGAAAATATCCATTAATAGATATATGTCATTGTTACTTTGATACGTCTAGGTCTTTTGCAATGCAATCAGTACATCATCAGGAGCTTGCAATGTTGCAGGAATAGAGTAGGGGGTCCAGGCGGAAATATTCCGGGGAAACAACTCTCTCGAATCTGCCTGGACTTCCTCGTCTGTTTCTGGAACATTGCAGGCTCCTGATGATGTGTTTATACCGACACGAAAGGCCTAAATCTATCATTCAACTCTCCCTTTAATTATTTTGCAACTTTTATAGCTTCTTTGCATACATACATAGAGAGAGAGAGAGAGAGAGAGAGAGAGAGAGAGAGAGAGAGAGAGAGAGACAGACAGACAGACAGACAGACAGACAGACAGACAAACAGACAGACAGACAGACAGACAGACAGACAGACAGACAGACAGACAGACAGACAGAGAGACGGACAGACAGACAGACAGACAGACAGACAGACAGATAGACAGAAACACAGACAAAGATAGAGAGATAGAAAGATAGAGAACCTTGTAAAACCTTTTATATGAGAGAGAGAGAGAGAGAGAGAGAGAGAGAGAGAGAAGATGATGATAATGATGATCACTCTGATAATTGCCATGTTAGCTTAAATATAATTAGCAAACACAGCAATATGTTATGGTGAGGGAAAATTAGTTTATTATTTTATTTTTGTTTATCCGCAACAAACACAAACATGGACGCATAAAAACACTCGCATGAACAAACTCATTTGCATAAAATACACTCACGCATGACTTTACAAATAAACAAATATTCTGGGCTTACGGCGATGAGGTGAGTTTGTTGGTGTTTGTTGTGTGGGTGTGGGGACCTGGTGTGGGTGTGGGGACCTAGAGTGTGGGTGTGGGGACCTAGAGTGTGGGTGGACCTAGTGTGGGTGTGGGACCTAGAGTGTGGGTGTGGGGCCTAGAGTGTGGGTGTGGGGACCTAGAGTGTGAGTGTGGGGACCTAGAGTGTGGGTTTGGGGACCTAGAGTGTGGGTGGTGGGGACCTAGAGTGTGGGTTTGTGGGACCTAGAGTGTGGGTGTGGGGACCTAGAGTGTGGGTGTGGGGACCTAGAGTGTGGGTGTGGGGACCTAGAGTGTGGGTGTGGGGACCTAGAGTGTGGGTGTGGGGACCTAGAGTGTGGGTGTGGGGACCTAGAGTATGGATGTGGGAACCTAAAGTGTGTGTGTTGGAACCTAAAGTGTGGGTGTGGGAACCTAAAGTATGGGTGCGGGTACCTAAAGTGTGGGTGTGGGAACCTAAAGTGTGGGTGTGGGGACCTAAAGTGTGGGTGTGGGAACCTAAAGTGTGGGTGTGGGAACCTAAAGTGTGAGCGTGGGGACCTAAAGTGTGGGTGTGGGGACCTAAAGTATGGGTGTGGGAACCTAAAGTGTGGGCGTGGGGACCTAAAGTGTGTTTGTGGGGGAGCTAAAGTGTGGGTGTTGGGACCTAAAATGTAGGCGTGGGGACCTAAAGTGTTGGCGTGGGGGAGCTAAAGTGTGGGTGTGGGGACCTAAAGTGTTGGCGTGGGGGAGCTAAAGTGTGGGTGTGGGGACCTAAAGTGTTGGCGTGGGGGAGCTAAAGTGTGGGTGTGGGGACCTAAAGTGTGGACGTGGGGACCTATCACACAATCGTGAGGACCTTTCATAAAGTTGTGGGGACCCACCATACAATCATGGGGACCCACCATACAGTCATGGGGACTCACATACAGTCATGGGGACCCACCATACAGTGGTGGGGACTTACCGTCTTATCACCCAGTCTGAGGACGTAACAAGCCAGAGCGGCGGTGTCACCAGCGTGGACGGTGACCGTGGCGTTGTGACGACCCAGGAAGGTCGGGGGGACAGCTGGGGACTCACTGGTGACGGGTGACTGCTCCGTGGTAACCAGGGGCGCCTCGATGCTGGGGGCGAAACCCCCCGCTCCGAAAACTGTAGATGAAATAGGAAGGAGTTGAATAAGGGTATTTATCATCAATTAGGGGCATTAATAATCAATTAGGGGTAGTCACCACCAATTATGGGGTAATTATAATCAATTAGGGAGGAAATTATCATTAGTTATGCGATATTTATTATCAAATATAGAATAATAATCGTTGAGGGATAATCATCATCGACTGGGGGATAATTATTATCAGTTAGGGATAATTTTAATCAAGCAGGGGATAATTATCATCAAATAGGGATAATTATCACAATTAGTGGATAATTATGATCAATTAGGGCAGATGAGGATAGATATACCGAGAAAGGTTAGTGTGGCTGTGGGATAGGACAGTAGGGTTACAGACAGTAGCTACTGACACAGACAGGACACAGTAGTGCCTTCTGTGACACTTCCCTGTTAGAAGCCCAATAATATATATAATATATATATATATATAATATATATATATAATATATATATAATAATATATATATATATATATATATAATATATATATATATATATATATATATATACATGTATATGTATAGCTGAAGGTACTATTCCCCAGTGAAAAAAAAAATCTTGGTTGGGTTACAGGTTATGAATCTTCTCCTCTCTGTGGTGCAGTGGTCGAGGGCTGGACAGGAGACTTGAGGCTTGACAGAGTCGTGAAACTGTTGCACTTGTGTATAGAGAGTTGTTCATATCTTTTTTTTCAGCTCAGAGTTACCCCATTATCGCGTGTCTTGGGTACGAGCCTGCCATTCCCCGGGTGTTACACGAGCTGTGTGGGTTTACCGCTTCTCCCTGATTGTAATGCAAGCAAAGATGTGGGTTTTTATTATTATCGTTGCTTTCACCTCTGCTTTCACCATTGCTTTCACAGTTACTTTATTGCTTTCACAATTGATTTTATCTTTCACTCTGGCTTTCACTTCTGCTTTCTCTATTGTTTTTCACTATTCCTTTCAATATTGATTTTAATCACTTACTTTCATCATTGTTTTCACCCTTGCTGTCACCATTGCTTTCACTTTGGCGTTCATTATTGCTTTCGCTCTTGCTTTCACCATTGCGTTTACCATTGCTTTCACAATTGCTTTCAATCTTGTTTTCACCATTGCTTTCACCATTGCTTTCACCCTTGCTTTCACCCTTGCTTTCACCCTTGCTTTCACCCTTGCTTTCACCCTTGCTCTCGCCCTTGCTTTCACCCTTGCTTTCACCCTTGCTTTCACCCTTGCTTTCACCATTACCTTAATTATTTTTTCACCAATTTTTTCTTTACCTTCGTATAAATAAATAAGTCGAAAATCTCTATAATTCTTCCTGATAGAATTAAAAAAAAAAAGCAAATTCTATCAACCATTAAATATTTATTTGTAAACAAACAGCATTACCTCTAAAATAACACTGAATGCAATTTTTTTTTACCTGCAAAAAACGCTTATAAAGCTGGGAAAATAAAAAAGCTTTCAAGCGTGTTTATTCTTACATGCTGGAGGAGGGAATATTTAAGCTGTTATTCAAAGCTGAAGTTTTTGGAGTAATAGACGAAATGCAGTGTTTTTGATAGATCTGTTTTGCAATGCTGGGAGGATTGGTAGTAGTAGTCTCTTTCTCTCTCTCTCTCTCTCTCTCTCTCTCTCTCTCTCTCTCTCTCTCTCTCTCTCTCTCTCCTCTCTCTCTCTCTCTCTCTCTCTCTCTCTCACTCTCTCCTCTCTCTCTCTCTCCCCTCTCCCTCTCTCTCCCTCTCTCTCTCTCTCTCTCTCTCTCTCTCTCTCTCCTCTCTCTCTCTCTCTCTCTTTTTTTTTTTTTTTTTACACAGGGTTTGACAAGGTTAAGGATCACTAGCTTTATTGACAAGCTAAGAGCTGTTACCTACATCAGCTCATTTGAAAGCATTTTTATTGTTATGAGACATACAACTAGGGAACGGATGAGGTTGGAGCCATCTGTGGGCCAGCATTTTCATTTGATCAACTGACTTTATCTCGTTGACATCTCTCTCTCTCTCTCTCTCTCTCTCTCTCCTCTCTCCTCTCTCTCTCTCCTTCTCTCTCTCTCTCTCTCTCTCTCTCTCTCCTCTCTCTACTCCTCTCTCCTCCTCTCTCCTCTCATCTCTCTCTCTCACTCTCTCTCTCTCTCTCTCCTCTTTTTCCTACGTCTTAGTCTCCGGTGTTCTCGGAGCCCCAGGAGAACACATGCACATAACACATCATAACAGCACATAAAACACCATAACATACAATAACACCACATAAATAACACCATAGCACACAATAACACCACATACACTGTAACACCATATAATACACCACAACATAAGACCATTGCACTTAACACACAATAACACCACATAAGACACAGTAACACAACACACAACAAAACGCATAAAAACACCGCATAACACATTATAACACCAAATATCACATTAACACCCCCACCCTCCCTTCCAACACTCCATAATATATAACCTCAAAAAACACATGAACACCAGTCAGCAACAACACAGAGTTTAAAGGGCATTTTAAATGAACAAATTAAGAGTTTCCCTTTAAATGGCGAGAAATACTTTACAAGACTTAAATCCCCGAGCGTAAATTACCGGGTTGAAGGTTCCAGCTCAGAAGTACTCAACTATTGAGGTATACCTGGAGATACCTGAAGAAGGTCTCGGAGGTCAACGCCCCAGCGGCTCGGTCTGTGACCAGGTCTTTTGCGATGCAATTTTTTTTTGGGGGGGGAGAGAAAAAAAGGGCAAAAATCTGAAAAATTCCCTCTTAAATTTCTTCCCGTATACGGTAGACGTTTTAGATTTCAGGAACCTTCATTCTGATAGTTTTAAATCATGGTATAGCAAGATTGGACATTTTATTTCGTGGTCTTATTGACTGTTGGACATTAGTAGATGTACACACAGAGTAAATACGTAATTATAAACGATCTCAGAAGTAGACATGTTCTGGAGAAGGTACAGTCAGAGTGTAGTTGCTGTCTGCTGCCCGTCTTGGTGTATAGAAGCTCACTTCCCATAAGAGAGATAAGATAAGATAAGATAAGATTTCGTTCGGATTTTTAACCCCGGAGGGTTAGCCACCCAGGATAACCCAAGAAAGTCAGTGCGTCATCGAGGACTGTCTAACTTATTTCCATTGTGGTCCTTAATCTTGTCTCCCAGGTTGCGACCCACACCAGTCGACTAACACCCAGGTACCTATTTGCTGCTAGGTAACAGGACAACAGGTGTAAAAGGGAAAAGTGTCGAAATGTTTCCACCCGCCGGGAATCGAACCCGGGCCCTCCGTGTGTGAAGCGGGAGCTTTAGCCACCAGGCCACCGGGCCACCGAGCAATATTATGCAGTACAGTCGCAAACAGGAGCTATGCAATGTTGCAAGACAGCAACAGATGAGAGGGAAAATTCTCTCCGAGGCAAGGCAGAAGGTACCTTCTGTCTTGCTTCTGTAGAAATACAAGCACCACAATGAAAATACAAGGATCCCAATGGAAATACAAGGAACCCAATGGAAATACAAGGACCACAATGGAGATACAAGGATCCCAATGGAAATACATGGAACCCAATGGAAATACAAGGACCACAATGGAAATACAAGGACCACAATGGAAATACAAGGATCCCAAAGAAAATACAAGGACCACAATGAAAATACAAAGACCAAAGTGGAAATACAAGGATCACAATATAAATACAAGGACCACAATGGAAATACAAGGACCACAATGGAAATACAAGGACCACAATGGAAATACAAGGACCACAATGGAAATACAAGGACCACAATGGAAATACAAGGACCACAGTGGAAATACAAAGGACCACAATGAAAATACAAGGACCACAATGGAAATACAAGGACCACAATGAAATACAAGGACCACAATGGAAATACAAGGACCACAATAGAAATACAAGGACCACAATGGAAATACAATGACCACAATGGAAATACAAGGACCACATGGAAATACAAGGACCACAATGGAAATACAAGGACCACAATGGAAATACAATGACCACAATGGAAAATACAAGGACCACAATGGAAATACAAGGACCACAATGGAAATGCAAGGACCACAGTGGAAATACAAGGACCACAATGAAAATACAAGGAACACAATGGAAATACAAGGACCACAATGGAAATACAAGGACCACAATGGAAATACAAGGACCACAATAGAAATACAAGGACCACAATGGAAATACAATGACCACAATGGAAATACAAGGACCACAATGGAAATACAAGGACCACAATGGAAATACAAGGACCACAATGGAAATACAATGACCACAATGGAAATACAAGGACCACAATGGAAATACAAGGACCACAATGGAAATACAAGGACCACAGTGGAAATACAAGGACCACAATGAAAATACAAGGACCACAATGGAAATACAAGGACCAAAAAGGAAATACAAGGACCACAATGGAAATACAAGGACCACAGTGGAAATAAAGGACCAAAAATGGAAATACAAGGACCACAATGGAAATACAAGGACCACAATGGAAATACAAGGACCACAATGGAAATACAAGGACCACAAATAGAAATACAAGACCACAATGGAAATACAAGGACCACAATGGAAATACAAGGACCACAATGGAAATACAATGACCACAATGGAAATACAAGGACCACAATGGAAATACGAGGACCACAATGGAAATACAAGGACCACAATGGAAATACAAGGACCACAATGGAAATACAAGGACCACAATGGAAATACAAGGACCACAATGGAAATACAATGACCACAATGGAAATACAAGGACCACAATGGAAATACAATGACCACAATGGAAATACAAGGACCACAATGGAAATACAAGGACCACAATGGAAATACAAGGACCACAATAGAAATTTACAAAGGACCACAATGGAAATACAAGGACCACAATGGAAATACAAGGACCACAATGGAAACACAATGACCACAATGGAAATAC